AAAAGAAATAATTAAATAGGAAGTTATAATAAGAAGGAATGAAATAAAGAGAAAGAAGGTTAGAAAGTTAGAAAATTATTACATTTCTTACCATTATCGCAATTGGACTTCATCAGTACAACGACATAAAAACTCAGTTTAAATCCAATTCCCCAGCCTGATTCTTTTTCCCCAGCCGCTTCTCAATTCCCCAGCCGCTTTTCTTCGCGCACACTCCCGGTACTTACTTTGCATGGCGGTTCTGCAGTAAGTCGGGCCAGCTTTCTCTCCAATTTTTGTTGTTGTGCGATAAATTTCTTTCGTTCCTCATTCAGCATATTGCAGTACGCCTTTGCTTCATTCGCTGCGTACGCTACATCCAATTCGTCACGTAAAACCGCCTAAACAAACAAGTTAATCACTTTTCTTCTTTCGAACTGGGCCTGCTATTATGTATGAAAAGTTAAAATTTAAAATTTAAAGAAATTTTTTCTAATTCAACGAATGAGTTCCTCAATGCATTTAAAATTTATCTAATGTATCTGCAAATCGCGCTCGTTATGCTTGACGCATTCTTCATTATCCAGAATGAAAGCATACGCCTTGCACGGCGATAATGGCGCTCCAGATAGAACTTTTCTGCAGAGTATTAAACGAGAATGAATTGAATTCCTCATTTTGACCATCAAAGAGCCCTTCAGACTGTAATGTGGCTTTCAGTTTCCACAGCACCGAAATGGAGCCTCCGAACCAGTACATTTGGTACTCAAATACGTACACCTTGTAAACACTCAACCAATTTTTGGCGGCTTTCGCGATATCTGCGATAAAGAAGCCCTTACATTCATAGGCGGATCCAGGAAGAACTCCTGTGGTAGAGAAAGGAGGGAGTAGGAGCGACGGGGGATAGGGAGAGTGGGTCCCAAGGGAGCAGAAGGGTGCGGGGAGAGGCGGGAGCTTTAGATTCAGGCTTTTGCAGCACTGGGTGCCTGTGCCGAAACACCCTCCGCCCCCTTCCTTCCAGGCCCTGGATCCGTCTTTGCTTATATTACGTGGAACACGCGCAGGACCGATATTCTGCCATGCGGAAAGTGCTCTTCTGTCAGGCTTGTGCTAACAATTCAGTTGTAGTGATACAGTGACTCACTAGCTGTGTTGAGGCAAAAAAACTGATGGCAAGCTTACTAATAATTGTTCTTCGCCACGCGCATTCCTACGTATTCCACATTTCGCTTGTTGTTTCTCTTGCAATCGCTTAACGCATGCACTTGCTTCTTCGTATTTACGGCGAAGCCACGCCAGTTGATTGTCCTTGGCACGCTGTTGCCGAATCAATTCCATCGCACGCTTTTGTTCCTGAAATAGCAATAAGGAGAGGTGAAAATTTTTATTCGCATCAGCCTGAATCACCGTAAAATTTCAGCTTTCTAGCTTTTCTTGCTCTCGAATTAGCAATTTTTCCGTCAGGTGCAGTTAGTAACTTTTAAGCTTCT